AGATTAAAATCATAACGATGACGATGGGAATAACGTTATTTTTCTTTTCTAGACCAGAGGTTATTGCTAAAGCTCTGATTCAGCTCATTGCCGATGACTCCAAGAATGGCGAGGCTCTGGTTATACTTGACGAACAGACGTCTGGTTACCACCAGTTTAACAAATTGGGTGTATTCAAACCTAACTGAACGCGAACAAACTTATAATATCTACTATCTATCCTGGCTGTCATCAATTTAGCAGCCTGGTGCATTCAAACCTAACTGAACGTGAACAAACTTATAATAATATCTACTATCTATCCTGGCTGCCATCAATTTAACAGCCTGGTGTATTTAAACCTAACTGAACGTGAACAAACTTGTAATATCTACTCCCGGAGGGGACTCCCTAATATCAAAGGGCGGGGGTCCTCGGCGGAAATTATGAAAATGACCCCTAAGAGGGACCTGTATTTGGAGATGATGGGCCAGCCTGGTGTATTTAAACCTAACTGAACGTGAACAAACTTGTAATATCTACTCCCGGAGGGGACTCCCTAATATCAAAGGGCGGGGGTCCTCGGCGGAAATTATGAAAATGACCCCTAAGAGGGACCTGTATTTGGAGATGATGGGCGTGGCAGTGCTGAAATTTCATCCCTAAAGGGGACCAATAATCTCGTCTATTAAGGAGTGTTAAGTGACAAGACGTGATTGAAATAAAATCAATCATCTAATTAGCAGCTGTGGTTTTTGATCTCATATGACGGCTTAGGGACGTCATATACCCTAAAAGGGACCACAAAACTCAGTTGGTGGGAATTCTCGTCATTATCACCCTAAGCGGGACCATTATATCGATTTCAAACCCTAAAAGGGACGCCGAGGACCTCCGCCCTTTGATATTAGGGAGTCCCCCCTCCCCCCGGGTATCTACTATGATATCTACTAGGGATGTTTCTGCTATGTATGTCTGGCTGCACTCGTTGCCACTGATCTTATATGTGGTATTGGCCGCTCTTCAAGGACCATCACCTCCTGTACAGCAAACAAAGCAATCCTCTCTGTTACAATGTTTCCTCTGAATGGATTCGATCTTTGTAGCATCCCTTTCACACTTATGCCAGCGTTCTCCACGATTTTGACTTTGATGTCTGAAGCTTTCACATCCTCTTCCAACTTCTTCTTTAACTCAGAATTAGGAGTAGCTGGTATGAAAACTACGCTGCTATTTCCACCTTTCGTTTCTCTTTCTCTCTTTCTTTTCTCTTGCACTCTCTTGATCTATTTTTCAAGAAGTAAATAATGTTTTTACAATGAATAAAAAAACTTTCACTTTTGCAAATAAATAAAAAAAAATCTCAAATTTTGAAAAAAATTAAATTTATAAAAATGAGAATAACTTGCTCTGTGTTGTGCTCTTAAATTAATCATATGTAGGATGCGTCACGTCACGATTCTGTGACAATCAATTCAAAGTAGTGTAACACCATATAGAGCGGATTTCGTATGAGTGGGAAACGGACGGTACTGTACTGTGTCCGTAATCGTACTGTAACCAAATTCTAGTGCCCCATTGTTTCACCAAAATTCTGCAGGCCAGGTGCGGTAACTGTGCGGTAACCGTGCGGTAACGGTGTCCCACTCATACGAAATCCGCTCTATTCAAATGACTTTCAAATGTCACGGACCGTGATCTATATAACGTCATTTCAAGAGTTTCAGGGGTTGCATGATATCAAACAGATAGTGGCACCTTTTTGCTAAAATATCTCTTTGTTGACGTCAAAAACAATGTTTACATACTGTCATGCAAACACAGTACTCGGCCAATCAGAACGTACGTAGTATCTAAGTTATTCCGTCGAGAACAAGGTCAAACAGGCTTTGTACCCAGGGTATTCCTGGGAGCGAGAAACGAGCGATAAACCAAACCTATCAAGGGATCGCAACTTCTAACTCACAAGATGATAATTAAGGGGGCTGTAGCTATGGTTACAGGGGGTGCCAGGGGAATTGGATATGCTTTCTGTGAAGAGCTGTTGAAGCAAGGCGCAAAAGTGGTGAGACGAGGTTTAGTTTGATACTGAATTTGTGAATATCGACAATGTACTGAATAGGACATTTTAGTGCTATTTTTAGTGTTGGACGTATTGAGATAATTGCAGTATATGAATATTTTTGAGGAAAGTTTTTAGTTGAGAGGTTTTTCAGCGATAACGCGATGATATGGTCTGGTGGCTTTGACATTATCAGTGATCTCAATGAAATGGTGAAATGGAGGCCCTCGGATCGGCGGATCGGCGGATCGGCGGATCTTCATCCCCAATTTGTCCTTTTTTGTCCTACGTTTAGCAGCCATTTATGGTAATCTTACCTTATTTGGAAGAAAAATACATGTTTATTTTTACAATCATCTGAAACTTGCAGTTACTACAGCCAATACACTTCTGAAAAAATCGGGCTATTTTTTTTTTCATATATGGCATGGATACTCTAAAGGAAGCCCAAAACCAAAATGCTCAGGGATCCCGTACATGTAATTCTACTTTTTTTTAGAAGACGACTATCAAAAACTGTTTGAGGTTTAATGATTTACATTTTCCTGTTGCTTTGAAGAACTCATAATTCGTTGAAATATTTAGGTTGTTTTGATTGACGTTTTGACAAAGGAAGGAACTGATGCGCAGGCAGCTCTCCAAGCCGAGTATGGCCCAGGCTCCGCTGTGTTTATAGAATGTGACGTCACAAATAATGAAGATTTGAAAAGTAAGTTCTGTATTAATGTATAGCGGTTATTGACGAACGTATCGTCCTTGATTATCAACCTTATGGTGCTGGCCATAATTACGGGCGGATCCAAAAAATTTCTGAAAGAGGGTGCACTAAAGCCTGTACCTTTAGGCTATTGAAAGAGATATCTGATGTCTTGTAAAAGAGCAATTTTGAAGAATTAATCACAATTTTTTTCCAAGGAGGGAGGGGGGGGATGGCACCCCAGGATCCTCCCCTAGATCCGCCCATGATAGTAATGTTTCAACAGCATTTATCCCATTGCCCAATCATCGGGGCCCGTGCGGCTGTTCAGTTGCGACCGGGGAACACCACGGCATGCAGGATTAGAGCCACAGACACAGTTGGTCCCGTTTCAATAACAAGAATCGCAGGACCTATTGACATAACCATTGCCTGATTCCAGGGAAAACCAGCGATGAGTGGATGTCCATGGCGATCCCTTAAGGGACAGGGGGATAGGAATGGCATACTAGTTTAGCCAATCAGGGGATGTCCATGGCGATTCCTGGAGGGACAGGGGGATTCGTATGAAGGACAGGGGATACTATAGGCCAGTACTGGACATGTATGAGATTGGGGCATGCGAAGTTCGCATTAATTACTATTGCAAGTGACATTGCTTTCAACGGGACCATATACACCCTTTTAATAAGTCCCGAGGTATTGTGTTTTCCGCACTTGACGTCAAATTTATTCTTTTGAATTCTTTTTGTATTGTAAAAATTCTAAAAGAATAAATTTGAYGTCAAGTGCGGAAAACACAATACCTCGGAACAAACAAATAGTGTTAGTCCCCTATCATTATCAACCATTGTGACCGACTCAGAAAGTGGTACCAGTTTCATTTTTTTTTTTTTCGGTCTGAATAAGCATTTATGTTTCAATTTTTTTTCGGTCTGAATAAGCATTTATTCAGGGAGAAAAAGGCGACATTTCATGATAGTCCAGCAACTCGATGTGAATCCAAAACAATACTCGTGCAATGTTGCTGTCTATTGCCAACCTCATAGTCTTGAAACGGTGAAACAAAACCCCCACCCCCCACCCCCTCACCACAACCTGAGCACGCCCTCAGAGTGTTATAATAATTGCATGTGTGCGAATTTGTCTATTTACCAGGCGCCATGAATACCGTGATCAAGGAACATGGAAAGCTTGATATTCTCTGCAACAACGCAGGCGTCGCTGAACAGCCAGACTTGGAGAAAACTTTGAATATTAATCTGGTAGGCAAACACAATGRAAAATCAATGTGTWACCGTCAAAAMGATTTGCCCTTAWWTGYATAGGACTTCAACTTTTTCTGAAATATGCTTTAGTTCATTTTTTTATTTATTYTTAATGCCTGWAAGKGTTTCCMGCYCATATTTTATATATTAAGTATTATTCGAATATCATACAGGGTGGAGTGATCCGTGGTACAAAGCTGGGACTKGARCTGATGTCTTCTGGGGTGATAATCAACACTTCTTCTGTTGCAGGTATAATTTAATCGAAACATCCCCCTAAGCCCATGCGCCATGTGATAATATCTCACATTCTTACTCAGTCTGAACACATAATTTGTAACTAAATCACCAA